TAAATTGGTCAAAAGAGGTCAAACTTCATTTTTTATGGACAACTAACAATCAAATTAACAAAAACCATCCATTTAAACTTCAGGTGAGAGTTTTTGAAAAAATTGGTATTGTGAGTGACAAAAATAAAAAATTCGAATTAAATCTACATTAAAGTGAAAGGTTGCTAGCATGACTACAATTTCCCCTGTAATTTAACACTATATGGTAGCTTTTGATATATATGTTATTCCAAAAAAGTCACATTTCTAGAATAATTGTTGCAAACGGGACCAGAACATTTCCCTGGAATACAATTTAACACTATACAATAGCTTTTGATATACATATATATATATATATGCTTTTTAATATGTCATATTTCTAGAATTGTTATTGAAAACGGGTCAAGAAAACTTTACCGTGGAATATAAGATATGCATGCCACTCCTTTCTTGGGGGAAAGGGTAGAATCTCTAAAATCTAAAATAATTCTAACATCAGTGACACTAAAGCCTACATGACATTATGTAAGATGTTAAATTAAAGATGAAATTATAAGGTTCATTTAATTAAACCTGCACTACCACATAAGCTGGTGTTAAACACCAATGATGCTAAACAAAGGTTCCAGAAGACAAATTTCCATAAATCCGTACGCATGCATTCAAATGGCAAATACAAAGGAAAGCAAATTTCGAAAAAACTAAATTGCATCAGCCAATCCTGATTTGCGAGTAATGCCACAGAAAACAAATCTAAAATCCAACTAAGTCCCGACATTCAAATTTTTTAAGGATCTAAATAAACAGCAGATATAAATAGACCTCCTAGTAACGATCAAAGGTAGGGGGGCGCCCTCCCCTCCTAGGACGGTCATAGGGACCAGGCCTCTCCCGATAGTTTCTGCCCTCATAACGAGCAGGACCTCCGCCTCCATACTTGTCACTGCTACCTCGGGGACCTCCATCCCTATCATAGGATCTGTCTTTACCGTACCCATTCTGGGGATAACGATCAGAGCCCCCATACTTGTCTACCACAAAGCGATCCCCAGTCGTGGGATACCTGCACATATACATGAAGCCATAATGAATAAAACAATCAGTAAAAAGTTAGCTACATCACCATCACGAAATTAACTTGCACTATTAGACTTGGTGGCACAAGGTTCACGGAGTTTACTCAAGGTTAAATATTAAAAAACTTCTTTAAAATAACACAACCCAACCAAACAAGGAAGTTTTGCAATCAGAGTTCTCCTTTCAGAAATAAAGGGAAGTGTTCAGAGATTATGACATGATAATTCCATTCAAATTCAGTTAATACCTGTCATTAACATATCGATCACGGCTCCGATCATCCCTGCTGTCATAACGATCCCTATCGCCGTGACGACCTCTATCATATTTATCATCCATGTATCGACCACGGTCATTTGCAAAGGGATCACCACGACCACCAGCCCCACCATACCTAGAACGTGGAGGTGAGAAAGGGCGACCACCTCGGCCACCACCTGCTGATGGACAGTCTCGGGCCCAATGTCCTGGGCGACCGCATTTGAAGCATTCATCCTGCCCAGCTGACCTTGCTCCTCCACCATAACTGCCCCTGCCACCTGAAGTGTAACCTCCATAGCCATGCCCTGAATCTTCATCCCCCATTTTTGGCTGAGCCTTGTTCACTGAGATGACACGCTCCCCAAATTCTCTACCATGCATATCACGGATCGCATCTTCCATTGCCCGACGGTCAGCAAAGGTCAAAAAGCCAAATCCACGAGGGCGGCCTGTATCTCTTTCTAGCATTATCTACATGAAGATTGCACTTGAGAACACCAAAATAGTGGATGACTGACCAATCCAAATAAGAGTATATATTCAATACATGATTATTAGGAATAATTTGAAAATTCCTGCAAGTGATCTTAAATATAAATCTCACTATCAGTTCAAACGCTTAAGCATGAATAGCCAGTATATTTTCATATTCATCAAGAGGCATGAGAAAGGACAATTAAGTTCTCTGTGTTATTTCTAACAAAAGCTTATCTTAAGCATTAAGATGTGATATAAAAATAGCAATTGATTAAGAAGCTCCCGCACGTGGAGTTGTAGCTATATATCTGAAAATGACACGCTGCACAAATTTAGGCATCAAAAAATGTGAGCAAAACAAATACCACATTTTAAAAACAAGCTACATGAACAAACAAAAGTTCAATTTTTTCTATTTAACAGATATAACTTTACATAGAAAATTTCAAAGTACTAATATAAGTGAGCAGTGACCAAGCATAAAGCATGCACAAATAAAATATTGAAAAGAAGTGTTTACAGTATTATTTTAGTGCCCTCATGTTTAATCCAAACCTGAAGTTATGATGGCCCTTAGAGCAAGCTTCATTTAGGATTTATGTACAACATGATGTTGGAGGGGAAAAGTAGTCTTACATGAGTAGAAGAATCAGCAGAACAGCAGATCTCAATCATCTGACTTTATGTTCTACACAGGCCCCAAATTTCATAAATCTCAGATCGATAACACAGCACTCAAGAAATCACATAAGGACAGGTTCCTAATGATAATGAACATAATCTATTCGGTCTGGCCACTTGATCTGATTACAATAACTCCACTTTAGACACTTCAGGTTCTGGTCTGTAATAACTATATTTCATCAACCCACATATCCAAAAAAACAGACATACAGCCATTGGAAGAATCACATGACATGTGCAGCTCGACAAAACCTTTCAAGACGAGCTTCCACCCTTAATAGTCATCTCATTCCAGATCAATGGATTCGAAGCACTAGCTACGAACATACTCAGTTGAGCTGAATAATGGAACCCGAAACTATAACCCAGCCTCCTTACTGAGTCCAGTATTTAATTAAAACTAGGCACTAAAACGCAACGCAAATGAGACTACTTTCTGACAATTTACTCCAGTCAGTCACTTGAGAGCATTCCCTGGAAGAATTCTATCATGAATAACTCATTTAACGAAGAATATACTTAGCATATATATAACCAGACTAATCAGGCATCAAATTTCATCTGGAAAGAGGCCCCATTTCAAAGTTTGATGCTGATTTCAATGAAGAAGTACTATGCGTACACATCATCAGATTGTCCTAAACGTTACGTGAATATGATACTGCCTCGAAGAATACCTCACCAAAAGTATGCAGATAAACTTAAGACTCGAACAATAAAATAAGCATTCTAGTGGGATGGAATCAAACGTTATAATTTGAACTCTTTCTTTTGAATTATAGACAACTGCTCCCTGGACAGTTTACAACGTGCAAATAAAGAAAACCGGCTTAGTACGCCTGAATTATAATTAAAACATTCTGAGGCATGAAGCATGCAGTTTGCAGAAATCAAAATGCTGGATGAACCACCGACCAGCTTCAAGCCTTTGGACTTTGTTACACTCAAATCTTAAAAAAACATTAAACCCTAAATCAAAATTCAGGGTGTTCATTTTAAAATCACTGTCTCTGCCAAAATTGAACTCATACAGAACTTCACTCTCATTTCGACAAGATTGCTTCATACGGTCTGAGCTGATACGCAGTAAAAAAAGAAAGCAAATTCCGGCAGAAAAATGAACTTCTGTCATTGAAATCGTAAAGTAGCAGGAAGAACGGAAGAGCAATTTTGAGGGATGGAATCCCAGGAGTAAATAATATAGTATGACAACCACAGTGAATTTAGCTCATTTTAATTGTGCTGTTCTGACTAACAAGGGAGGATTACCACTACACCGGAAATGGGCGACTGCATATCACTCTTAAAAACTGATTAAACTCTAAAGATTCTGCCTCTTGAGTGTTGAAAATGTTCTTGAAAGAAATTATATCTTCACATCCAGCATCTGAAATTTTTTAGAGATGAAGAGCACTACAAGCAGAAGTTCTAGCGGAAATTTTGAAAAATGAAGCCGAGTGTAGAAGTTCTTCAGTGCCTTTAATGAAGCATCCACCATCTGCAGCTCTTGCCCAAATTACTGTAACTGACATTGGACAAACCATGATGCAGAAAACTTTAGGAAAACTCTGTAGTAAAATAGCAACATCTCCTAATAAAATCTTTTGACATTATTGGGCCAAGCACAGGAGGATTGATCAACATAATCGACGTTGAGCAGATTTAAAAGGCATTCTAACGGATAGGGTCGAAATGATGGATGATATGGCATACTGCGATTATGCATGATGCAGTTAACCTCAATGTCTTAACTTTCATCCGCAGTCAGAAAAGATCATAAACAATGCCCAAAATCCAGAAAATCTTACAAGAACAAGATGCTTCTAGAAGTTTGCTACAACATATTGCTTTTGGCTCAACCATATCAGTGACTCATCCACAACACCTCATGCAAGTAAATTATAGACCATGGGCATCAATTACGAATAGCACCGACTTTTAATTCTTTACGAAATCCAATCCTTGTTGTACTTTAGAATTATTGCACCTAATGCACTATTGTTACCTGACAATTTCAACATCAGCCTCTTCTGAACAATCAGAACCAAGTTTCCCAAATGTTCAATTTCTAGGCAGAAAAGCATCGATCCAGCCATCTTGGATACCCACTGAATGATACAAATTAAACCCACTATAGGGAAAATAGGGAATTGAGATCCCGCCTATGGGAAAATCAATAAAGACCTTTTCTGAAATCGGAGGAATTTTCTTCTCTTTGAAACTTCCCAAAGTGAAAGCCTTTTAACCATAGTTGGAATTTCGCCCCAAGACAAGGTCAAACTTTGGGAAGAGGACATGATCAATAGAACTTGACTCAATGAAGCAATAAACTGAAAATATCCCAAGTAAAACTGGCAAAGTCCCCATGCAAAACTGATTCTAGAAACTCAAACATCAGAAACAACTACATGAACCAAACTATGAAACACGAGAGAAATAGGGTTTCAGCAATCCAGCACATCCCAAGTCCCAACGAACCCAAAGTTCCATCAAATCCTGCCCTAAAGGCCGGCATTACAGAGATCATAAGCACCATACAGGGAAAGAGAGAAAGAGAGATCAATAGTGTGATGAGAGATAGAGAGAAAAAAAGATTGCAAAAATATATTAAAATAGCTAGAAATATTAGTTGTCAATGTCGCAGCAAGAAATGAATATTCGTAGCAATGTTTTTAGTTTTTTAAATAGCTTTTGGGGAAACCACGTAATATATATGTGAATATAACATAATTCACGACAAACTTGAGTTTTGATTCTTATTTAAGCACACGAAATTTAACAAAATTCGTAAAAATTATAGGACACTGAATATAAAACTAACAAAATAAACAAAAAAGAATATAGAAGCAAAATAAACCTCCATATACCGCAATAAAATCATATTAATTTCCAGGAAAATTTGCATTTAACAACAGTATGAAATCAAACCTGACTGTCAATAATTTTGCCAAAGCGGCTAAAAGCATCTTCAAGCTGACGCTCGGTGATGTCCCACGATAACCCTCCAACAAATATACGGTAGTCTTGCTCCTTCCCGGCCATCTCTCTCTGAAACCCCAATCAATCCAGTGTTAGCAATTCAAAATAAAGAATCATCGATATTAAATCCAGTGTTAAATATAGAGGCGAAACGTATGTATATGTCTGCGATAGAGAAAGATTAGGTTTACCAGTAAGAAAAGGTTGAAATGAGATAAGATTTTTGAGAGCAAATGTTGGTTTCGGAAGTAAAACCCTAAGACACAGGGAATTTCCTTTTCTCGGTCTATTGTTTTTATTCTTTTTTCGCGAATAATAATAAAAGAATTCTAAAAAAGATACAAATAATATTACTTAGTTTACCTCTTTTCTCGCGGTGGAGTATCCAATTACCAAAATGAACATGAGCCTGTTTATGGGTGATTTTGAAAATTGATTTTTGATCGTTAGGAAAAAAGTGAAATTCATCTGTGGAGAAAAAATCAAATATAACGACTGAAATAGTGAAATAACGGTCAAAAAATCAATTTTTGGATGAAAAAAGGGACCCAAACAGGCCCCATATAACTCAAAAGTCGGTCAAAAGAGAGCTACTACTAGATTGGTGTCGATGTGATAACCATGTGATGTTAAGTCTCGGTTTGTTTTTCATTCTTTTTCCATTAAAATAAAAAATATGATCGTTATTCATCACATTAAATTATCAAATTTGAATTTCTATCTCTTGTGTGGAGTTCATAACAACTATATTTTTCATTCTCATTTTTACAAAAAGGGAAAACAAAAGCCCCCTATATAATGGGCATACTTTAAATGCAATATCACATAATTTATTTAATTGAATATATTAAGTTCCGTTTGATTCTCATTTTTTGGCCATAAAAATGAAAAATATGACCGTTATCTATCATATCAAGTCACTATATTTAACTTTCTATCTTTTAAGTTGGTCCCGTAACAACTGTATTTTTCATTCTCATTCTTTCAAAAATGAAAATTGAACGAGGCCTAAGTTGAGCTATCTAAACTAGTGCTCTAGTACAACCGTGTTAAATAACATTATTTATAATTAAGGGGTTAGAGTAATGTTATTTATATAATCAGTTTGTTATTACGTGATAGGTTCAATTAAATGTGAAATTACATGATTCATTTAATTGTAACTTTTATTTAATGATATTCAGTACCATTTAAATTGGTGTTGTAACATTAGTGGTGTTAGATAAGTTACTCTTAAATTATTATTTTTTTAATAATTATATTTACGCTAAACATTTAAACTTAGCCAAACTTCTCACACTTGCTTAATTATTTAGAAATAAAATATTTTCGCTTGTGAATAAAATCATTCTACAATTGGATAAAATGGAAATGTAGGTTTGTCCAAGTGTAAAGAAATATAAGAGTCCGTTTGATATGAAAAATTTTCCATGGATTTTCCACATTTTGAGTTGTTTGACTGTATAAATTTTCCATGGAAATCAATTCTTCCTGCCCCCGCCCCTCCAACATGCGACTTATTTTCCTCAAATTTGAGGAACAACTTTATTTTTCAAAATTTTTTTAGATTTTTTATTTTATTTTTAGCAATGGAACGAAATTCTATCCACAATTATAAAAAAAAATTATCTCTTTAATTGACAATTTTCATGAAAAACAAATCCAAAAGAACACCAAAAAATCCAAAATTTCAATATTTTTCAAGTTAAAAATTATACCAATCAAACTTATTTAACTAACAATTCTCAGTAAAACAAATTCTAGGTAATACGAGTCCCTAGAATTCGTTTTCTTTCCATCCAAATTTCATTCTTACAATCAAATGGACTGTATTTATATCAAATTTATCGAAATGAGGACAAATAAGTTTGAGTCAATTTTTGAATTAAATACTAAACAGTGACCTTGAAAATTTTCTGTTATTTTCGCACTTTTACATTTCTTTAATTTATAGATAATTCTAATATATCACATGTACTTAATTAGCATAAATGAAATACATGCATCGCAAGCGGTTTTGTGACCATGTTGCAATATTGTAGTTAAATAAAAAACGGAACTATAATACAAGAATATAGCGCTTAAATACAATGCAATATATTGTATTAAACTGTTGAAGTTATTGATAAAATAAATAATATTTTTGCATTTATATTTATTTATTATAGATAATTACTAACCATCATATATGTGTCACATAGGACGATTGCGATAATAAACGATTACAAAAAATATTATTCAATCATAAAATGTCAAAAAGAGAATATCTTCCGATTAGTGGTCCCTCTGGAGTTGATTGATTTAATTATAAATCATTGAATAAAGAATATAGGGCACAATTAAAAATAAAATAAAATTAACGCTGATAATTTTTATATCATAATGAATTATGGGAATTGAATGAACCATTTATTTTTTACAATATATACGATCATATAAATTAAATTAAATTAATTTAATAGTATAGATTAATTTAAAAATCAAAAATAAAAAACTTAATTATCTTCTTCACCACATGGTCCCCGCCCTTCATTCGGACCATCCTGTCCCGTCCCGTCCACAATCATGTTGTCATGATTGCTGTCACAATCTCATTGTCACCTCAGTGATCGCTCTGTTAATAAATAATTGATCCGTCCTTCCCCTATTTGAACTTACTCTTTCATGGACGTACGATAAGTTTTCTACTTTAATAAAAATCAATTGATAAAATACACCCACAAAGTTCAACTATACGTGCCCAATTCAAAGAATTGATACCCTTCCCCTATTTGACCTTGCTCTTTCACTGAATTACTATAAATTTTGATATTTAATAAAAATTAAGTGATAAAAACACCCACACGAAGTTCGAACGTTTTTGCCCAATTTAAAGAATTGAATCACACCCTTCAGTTATTTGAACTTGCTCTTTCATAAAAATACTATAAATTTTGAATCTTTGATAAAAATTAATTGGTAAAACACAATATACAAACACACAAAGTTCGGCCATTTTTGCCCAATTCAAAGAATTGATCCACTCCCTGACCTTCTTTAAACCATCTCATTCATTGAATACAATAAATCTCGATCTTTAAATAAATTTAATTGATAAAACACAACACACACACACACACAATATTGATTAGACCATTTTTGTTCAATTCAAAGAATTGAACGACTCCCTTTCCTTACACAAACTTGCTCTTTCATAGAAATACGATAAGTTTTAATAAAAATTGTTAGAGAATTCAGAATCTTCAAATTCAACTAACTTACACCAAATTCCATCTCAACGATGAGTTCGGTTGAAGTTGTTGAATAGTTATTAGTTAGTTGGTTAGTCAAATAGTCTATAAATATATCACTTTGCATACCCTCTATTTCATTGAATATCCTCCAATCATCAATATGATTTTAGCATATTAATTTTCTTTTATTCTCTCTAGCTTTATACTAGAGGTATTTTCATGGAATTGATTCCGATTCCATTGTCTATGCTTTTCTCTTTTTATCGATGTTAATTCATGGTTTCTAATTCAAGATTTTAACAAAAACTAACAGGTAAAGAAAACACACACACACCCACACACACAGAATGTGCAACCATTTTTGGCCAATTCAAAGAATTGAATCATCTCCACCCCTTACTTGAACTTGCTTTTCCATAGAAATACGATAACTTTTGGCCTTTAATAAAAGTTAATGGATAAAAAACACGTACACAACAAAGTTCAACCTTTTTTGCTCAATTCAAATAATTAACAATCAAATAAAATTTACATTTATTGTACAATGTACAACAATTTGATTTAGTGAAGTGAATGTCTTCACAACAATAAACATTTACGAAAATTAAGAGAAAAGAAGATACACGATGTAAGATAATTTACACAATTGTATAATATTTTAATATTATCTAATCAATGGCTATTTCTGTTGAATTGTTCAGGGACAAGCGGGAATCAAAGAACGCATGTACCTCCATGGTCAAGGAAACTTGAACTAGATTTGGGATGTTTTGTTGAAGTTCTTTTGCTTAATTTCTGAGGAAGAATTTGCAGACGGGGGTTTGATTCAGTCCCCGAATTCTCTGCAGCCAACTGATAACTCTGGACCAATTCAAGTTGTCGGGCGACTATCTCAGTGCGCCTTGGTAGAAGTTCCACAGCCTCGCCGCCTGGTATCACAATGTATTCAATTGCAAGTCGAACTTCCTATTTAAGAGCCAACCAGAATCAAGATCAGTCACTCAGAGGCTGCAATCAGAAATTAAAGGAAAGAGTCCTTCACAAATTTCATAGCAACAAGTATGAGCGAAAATTGAAATAATAAATAATTCAACGAACTCAGAGATCAATAAACAAATCAAATTTGATTTGGAATGATGGAATTTCCACATGTTCAACTTGAACCGTTGAATTGTGCTGATTTCAGATTAGATACGATCTGACGGTTCAGATCACACACAATTCTGTATCCCTTGCGGTTGGTCCACTGCGAGAAGCAAGTCCTCTCCCTTCCAACAGGGAATTCTATTCCTCAATAAGACACTTAAAAGTAAGCATGGGACCCACCCTAAATATCCATAAAATTGATAAGAAAACCTATATAATTCCAACAAAGAGAAGCTAATCAGTAAGTAAATGCTTGATGAGGCAACATTCAAAATAATTTTGATGTATGTAATATTAATGTAAATATACCAGATGTCATAATATATAACACAACCCAACCAAACAAGGAAGTTTTGCAATCAGAGTTCTCCTTTCAGAAATAAAGGGAAGTGTTCAGAGATTATGACATGATAATTCCATTCAAATTCAGTTAATACCTGTCATTAACATATCGATCACGGCTCCGATCATCCCTGCTGTCATAACGATCCCTATCGCCGTGACGACCTCTATCATATTTATCATCCATGTATCGACCACGGTCATTTGCAAAGGGATCACCACGACCACCAGCCCCACCATACCTAGAACGTGGAGGTGAGAAAGGGCGACCACCTCGGCCACCACCTGCTGATGGACAGTCTCGGGCCCAATGTCCTGGGCGACCGCATTTGAAGCATTCATCCTGCC